GTAGGCTAGAGAGGCAGGGGTGAGAGGATTCACCAGAGACAGAGTGGGGAGCAGAACAGGTGGATCTACTGAAATACACTGCTGAGGGGAGCAGTGGGGAGACAGGTGAGGTCTGCTGTGCCATGTGAGTCACATCCCTGGCCGGGACTTGAACTCGTGCTGCAGCACTGTGGACAGCTTCATAGTGGTGCATCTTAACTCCTTGCAACACCAGGGAGGCCTCTCATTTCAAAATTGGATCAATGCAAAGGAAGAGGAACCAGAAAAAAAATGTGCTGGAATTTTGTGGTTCTGCCCACCTTACATTCTTTCCAGCACACAGGGAGGGGGAGAGGAAGACATTGCTCAGATGAGAAGAATCCCCTGGGTGGGCATGGTTGCTGGGAGAAGTGCTTCAGCTGTCGCATACCTCGGATTAGAACAGGAAGTCAGTGTGCCAAGCAAACATCTAGAAAATAGGTTGGAATCATATCAGAGATTGGAGATCCAGATGGAAAGAAAAACCAGAATATTGGAGCATGTGGCAGAAGGGTGCCCCCTGGGAGGGTACCTGCATGAGCACCCCGGTTCTCAGCTATGTTGTGCTCTTTATGACGTAGCTTCAGGGGGTGAGAAGGTCTAGGGAAGGGACAGGTGAAAGTTACCTTTTAAAGACTGGAGAGATTTGGGGGCATCCCTGGTGGCTCAAGGGGTTAAGTCTCACCATTGTGAAGCTATCAGCAGCTACTGTGGCATGAGTTTGATTCCCCTCCAGGGAGGTGACCCACATGGCGCAGCAGACCTCTCCTGACTTGCTTACAGCTCCCCTCAGCAGTGTATTTCAGTTGATCTTCCTGTTCTGCTCCCCACTCTATCTCTGTTGAGTCCTCTCACACGCCTGCCACCCCATACCTCTGGTCTGCACCCCAGCTTTTGTGTTAATAAATAAAAAAAATAAATCTTTAAAAAATATATTGGAGAAGGGGCTCCCTGGTGGTGCAAGGGGTTAAGACATAACCTATGAAGCTGTCTGCAGCCTCTGCAGCATGAGTTCGGTCCCCTGGCCTGCCAGGGAGCAACCCACATGGTGCAGCAGACCTCTCCTGACTCACCCGCTGCTCCCCTTAGCAGTGTGCTTAGGTTGATCTGCCTGTTCTGTTTCCTGCTCTGTCTCTGGTGAATCCTCTCACCCCCCACACCTCTGGCCTGTGCCCCAACTCTTGTATGCATAAATAAATAAATCTTAAAAAAAAGGAGATTTAAATTCTTTCTTTCCTTTTTTCCTTTTTTTTTGGGGGGGGAGGCCTAGAAAAACTGAGATGTAGATCAGAGGTGCAGGGGGTGAGAGGATACGCCAGAGGCAGAGTGGGGAGCAGAACAGGTGGATTTACTGAAATACACTGCTAAAGAGAGCCACAGGCGAGATAAGAAAGGTCTGCTGCACCGCATGTGGGTCAGCTCCCTGGCCAGGGATGGAACTCAGCCTATAGCAGTGATAGTGCTGACACCCAACCCCTAGGCCACCAGGGAAGCCCTACATTAATTCTTTTTAAAAAAAAAGTTTTATGTATTTATACAAGAACCGGGGTAGGCCAGATTAGCAGGAGGATTCACCAGAGCCAGAGCGGGGAATAGAACACACACACTGACAAAATACACTGCTGAGGGGAGCAGCGGGTGAGACAGGAGAGGTCTTCTCACCTGCCGGCCGGGATTGAACCCGTACTGCAGAGGCTGCGGACAGCTTCACAGTGCTGTGCTCAACTGCCTGCGCCACCAGGGGAGGCCCCCTACATTAATTCTTACACAGCAAAGCTAGGTGAAGTATTACTATGCCAGAGGATGAAATTAAAGTGGGTGTTCATCATTCAGCTGCATATGGTCTTTACAAAGGGCTCAATAAATATACCATTTTCTAAAACAGCTCAGGATGCCCTAACAATACCATAGATTGGCTTGCATACACAATAGTCATTTATTTTCTCACAATTCCACAAAGAGCCAGCATGGTTGGTTTCTGGTTTCTGGCTTGGAAAGTGCCTCCTGCTCAGTATGTCCTCAAATGCTGGTGGGAATGAGTGAGTCAGTACTCTCTCTGGTGGTTCTTCTTATAAGGGCATAATCTCTTCCATTATGGGGACCTGATCCTCTTAACCTCATCTCAACCTAATTATTTCCCAAAGGTTCCATCTCCAAGGACCATCACACAGGGGGTTAGGACTTCAACATGTGAATGGGCGGGGGAGAGAGGCAGATTCAGTCCCAGCAGCTATCAACTTGGAATATCTCAGCCACCATAAGAGTCACATCTTATATTTTATTCTGTGTGTCAGACAACAGCTATACTTGATCTGGCATTGAAACTGTCCTCATACTACAAATGGATTTTTCTAAATTCCTTATCAATAATTGTTTTACCTCAATTCTAGCAATATGGTATTCTAGAAAGAAACTTCTCTGTCTTCTGTCACTATATAGACATGAAGGGATGTGGTTTTCTCACATTTTGATTGTAAACCAAGCACTGCTCATGCCCCCTGCAGAGGCTGCCTTCTGATGGGTGTGGGCAAGGAATGTCACCTGGAGAGCTGTCTGTCTTGCTACTTACCTGCTTCCCTGAGGACCATGCAACTCCCTGCTCTACCATTTACCTCACATTGCCTGGGGGTCCTGAGCCACGGTGCCCCCTCCATGCAGTGTTACCACCCAGGATAGGTAGGCTTGGGTTCACCAGATGCTTCTTTCTGCTTGTCCTATTATTTCTCTTCATATAAATACCTGAGTCTCTGTTGGAGCATCAGCCTTTAGCAAAGAGTCAAAGAAAACAAAACTGAGTTATAATTTAAGTTAGAGTTAAGAATGTATTCTAAATATGGCTGCCCCCATGTGATCTAGCTGCCCATCTCATGTACACAGATATTCCGCCTGTCAACCTTTCTTTCACAGATCTCCTGGCTGTTCAGGCTCCTATTCTCTAAGGGCCCCCCTCATCCACACCATTCAACCACTAGAATCCAATAGTTAGGGACAAATGTTTTCCCCAAGTCTAAGTTACTTAGTCTAACACGATAGCTTAGACTAGAATGAGGTTGAGGATGCTGGAAATACGTTTCAGAAGCGCCTGGGTGAGCTTGTGTTCTGCTCAGTCCTGACTCTATCAATGTTCATCTAGTGCTAAGTCAACATTGTTCATCAATTTATGGTTTTCTTTTACTTTGGTTCACATGTTTGTATACCATTAGGTTTCTTATTTAAATCCTATGAAACTTAACACACAAGGTAGATTTCAAAAGCAGTGAAATGTGTGCCCAGTGGGAAATACCAAGAGGAGCCAATGGCCTGTGGAACATTCCTAAAGAACTGCCCTGATAGTTTTCACCCCATTGTATCTCAACTTCCATTGCTTGTTACCATGTGCCACAAACAGCCATTCTGCCACGATGTGTAATAATTATAATCATTATAATCATTTATCAACAAGATGAGAGAATGAGATAATGACAAGAGTTTGGTACCTTCCCTGCATGCCGAACAATTGACTTCAGTCACAAATGTGTTGCCACCCTATTCCACCCTACTGTATGATATCAGAAGTTTTATGTTCCATCAGAAGGGGGACTTCCAGCAGGCCGTGGGGTGCAGTGGCACACAGACCTGTTGTGAGTTCCCACGAGTTACTCTTTAAGCTTACATGTCATTCTTTGGGGTATCCTCTTAAAAACTCTTGAAGGGATTCTGATGTGCCACTGAAGCATATCCAATAAATTCATGCCAAAACAACAATTGGGGATATCATAAAATAACTTATGAGCAAAAACAGACAAATACATCAGAAACAACAATACCTGGAGATTTGGAGATTAACTTGTCTACTTCATAAGATTTTCACATCAATTTTCCCTGAAGTATCAGCCCTATCTGTATAGAAGTGATTTATCTGAACCAAGACAGAGATTAAGTCTAGCAAGCTGAGACATTTTTATCTTAAATGAAAGCAAAATGTGATCATGTGTAATAGCCACATCATTAAAAGAACTTAATCCCTTTGGTATTTTTGTGACCATTTGTGCTAACAGAAATGAAGACTTTTTCCCCTGAGACTCTTTCTAGATTAATTCTCGCAAGTTAATTTTTATGAAATTTGTGACTGTTTTTATACAACATGTTTTATCTGAAGATTTGTATTTAGAAATTCTAAGGCAGAGGGACAGCTAGTTCTGGTCTAATGCATTTATCCGTGTTGGATTATGAATATTGGCTTGAAGACAAATATTACGATTCTCTCATCCAAGCTTTCTTTTTTCTTAAAGATTTATTTATGCATACAAGAACTGGGGTACAGGCCGGAGGTGTGTGTGGGGGGGGCGGTGAGAGGATTCACCAGAGACAGAGTGGGGAGCAGCACAGGCAGATCTACTGAAATACACTGCAGAGGGGAGCAGCAGGTATGTCAGGAGAGGTCTGCTGCACCATGTGGGTAGCTCCCTGGCCGGGGAGTGAACTCATGCCCCAGTGTCTGTGGATTGCTTCATAGTGCTGTGTCTTAACCCCTTGCACCACCAGGGAGGCCCACATACAAAGTTTCTTTTTTATTTTTTTTAAGATTTATTTATTTACGCATACAAGAGCTAGGGTAGAGGCCAGAGGTGTGGGGTGGGGGAGGTGAGAGGCTTCACCAGAGACAGAGTGGGGAGCAGAACAGGCAGACTGACTGAAATACACTGCTGAGGGGAGCAGCGGGCGAGACAGGAGAGGTCTGCTGTGCCATGTGGGTTTCTCTCTGGCTGGCTGGGGATCGAACTCGTCCTGCAGACACTGTGGATTGCTTCATAGTGAAATGCTTAACCCCACCAGGGAGGCCCCCCAAGTTTTCTTAATAGGGGAAATATCGACTTCTAGTGTCGTGCTAGAAACAAGCAGACAACCTCTGCTTGTCAAAAGCTGATAGTAGTAAACCCAAGTGCAGGGATTTTGGGGAGATTCCTCCAGAACTCATCTCTTTTTGTCCCTCCTTCTTTTAGTGTCTGCCAAACCACGACCCCACAGCGATGAATATTCCAAGAAGATTCCTCCTCCCAAACCCAAACGGAACCCCAACACTCAGCTGAGCACGTCCTTCGACGAGACATACATCAAAAAGCACGGGCCCAGGCGGAGGTCGCTCACCCGGGACGCCTCCCTCTCCCAGGTGGGCAGCCCCGCGGGGGACCCCGATGAGGAGGAGCCGGTGTACATCGAGATGGTGGGAAACATCCTCAGAGACTTCAGGAAGGACGAGGACGACCAGAGCGAGGCCGTCTACGAGGAGATGAAGTACCCCATTTTTGACGACCTCGGCCAAGACGCCAAGTGTGACTTGGACCACCACAGCTGTTCTTCGCAGTGTGCTACTCCCACGGTGCCTGACTCGGACCCGGCCAAGTCCTCAGTGCCCTGCACCCCCAAGGGTCTGCTCTGTGACATCCCCCCGCCCTTCCCCAACCTGCTCTCTCACAGGCCCCCGCTGCTGGTGTTCCCCCCGGCTCCCGTGCAGTGCTCCCCCAACTCCGACGAGTCTCCGCTCACCCCGCTGGAGGTCACCAAGCTCCCGGTGTTGGAAAACGTGTCTTACATGAAGCAGCAGGCGGGGGCGTCGCCATCCTCGCTGCCGGCCCACGCCTCCTCGGGGCACCCCAAGCTGGAGAAGGAGCAGGGCGCTGCGCTCGGGCAGGGGGCCGCGGCCTCGGCGCTGTCCTCGTCGCCGCCCGCGCCGTCCACGCTGTACCGCACGCAGTCTCCCCACGGGTACCCCAAAAGCCACTCGGCCTCCCCGTCGCCCGTGAGCATGGGCAGGTCCCTGACGCCCCTCAGCCTCAAAAGGCCCCCTCCCTACGACGCCGTGCACTCGGGCGGCCTGGCCCGGAGCGCGCCAGCAGTGCCTCCCCCCGCGGCCCGGCCGGTGTCGCAGGACGCGAGCAGGATGGTCCACGCGGCGGTGGGCACGCACGGCGCGGCGCCCGGGGGCTCGCGCTCCAGGACGCCCACCAGCCCTTTGGAGGAGCTGACCAGCCTCTTCACCTCCGGCCGCAGCCTCCTGCGCAAATCCTCCAGCGGCCGGCGCTCCAAGGAGCCCGCGGAGAGTAAGTGGGGCCTGCGCGGGGGCCGGGCGCGCGCAGAGGCCCAGCGCGCAGCCAGCGCCAGGGCCTGCACCTGCGGGCTCCGAGGGCGCGGCCGCGCTGTGGCCTCGCTGAAGAAGGGGGTGTCGTTCTGGTTTGCAGTTGCTTGTCGATTTTGATTTTTTTCTTTATTATAATTCGTCTTTTTCCTGGCCCCTTATTTAGGTTTTCTAAGTTCCTGCTCTGAGTAAGGGTGGGGAGGTGGGGAGAGGAGGGATTAGGGTCAAAATAAGGGGGGTGCAATTGTATGGGGAATAGAACCCACATGGAAATGCATGCATTGTGCAAAATGAATGATGTTAGAATTATATAAAATAAAATATATTTGAAAGAAAGGGGTGTATGAAGCAAATGACCTCTGTGCTGTTGGGTAACGCACCCAACCCAGCACAGGAATGGTTTTTAGAGTTAAAGATCACAGCTCCATTCTTACATCGGCTCTGGGAAGTCTTCCAAAGAAATTATTACTGTGGAATTGGGAGGTAAATATCTTGGGGGAAAATGATGCTCTGAAACAAGGAATTGATGCATGTTAAAATTTATCTTTATCTGCTGCTAAAAACCCACTAGAGTTAATTTGTATTGGGAAAAATTTGCTGGAAAGAAAACAGTTTTTTTAAGGAGTTATTTATTTATGCATACAAGAATTAGGTACAAGCCAGAGGTGCAGGTGGTAAGAAGATTCATCAGAGACAAAGTGGGGAACAGGACAGGCAGACTGACTGAAATTAACTGCTGAGGGGAGCAGCAGGCGGGTCAGGAGAGGTCTGCTGCGCCATGTGGGTTTCTCCCGGTCTGGCCAGGGATCGAACTGGTGCTGCAGAGTCTGCAGATAGCTTCATAGTGCTGTGCTTAACCTCTTGAGCCACCAGGGAGACCCCGAAAGAAAGCAATTTGGGTCAAATCTAGGTCTTTGTTTTTTAACATAATAAATCATATTTTCCCCACATGCTCATGTTCTGACCTTCACCCTAACCTGGAATAGCCTCCTGGTTGTCCTTCGAAGAAGTATAGTGATTAACATCTTACTGCAAGAGTACTCTTCCTACATCCCTCCTTGTGTAAATTACAGAAAAATCACTAAGATAAACAGATGATGAACATTACATTCACCACTGAATTTCAAAGACCAGGACCTTTCTTTATCTGAGACTAATCATTTTGTGAACCTCGACTCACTCTGTAAGTAGGTGGTTAAGCCAAAGCATCCCATTTTCTTTCATGTGCATTTCTTTAAAGTACACAGTTTTCCTTATTTAAAAATACTTTAGGCATCTAATGTGCTGATTAATCATTTTCATCTCAAATGATCCTAAGGCATCATTTTGTTACTTACCTATTGATAAGTTCATTCCTTTTCCTTAAAGGAGAAGAAAACCTGAATACTTGTGATGAAGATGATGAAGACACTCCTTAGATAATTAATATTCATTGGTAGTTATAAGCCACTCACCATATTTTTTCTTTCAGTGAGATTTATGAAAGCATTAGCTGCTGAATAATTCTCCCCCAAAACATTTTACTTACCTGATGGAAAGGCAGCAATTTCTATTACATTAGAAGTATGTAGAGTTAACTATATACACACAGGCATATGTAAATTTTTTTTAAATTATTTAAAAAATTGAACTAAAAGTTAGCAAAAACTATTCAATACTTCAAGAGTAATGAATAGTTTGGAAGATTGGGCCCACGGAGACATTTGGAAACATGTCTGGGATTATTTGGGGTTGTCACAACGAGCGGTTCTCCTGACATCATGCAAGAAAAGGTGAGGGATGCTGCTTAGGTTATTATAATACACATGGCAAGTCACCAGCACTACCTCCAAAACATCACCTAGTCCACACTGTCAGTGCCAAGGTGGAAAATTCTAATCTGATTGTTTATTCAACTTTACAATTTCTCCCAGATGATTGATTTAGTTTAAGTATAGATCAATTAAAAATTTTAGAATACATTGGGAAAAATACTTAAAATGATTTTATTCTCAAAATACATAATGGTTAGTGTGAAATTAATAGAAATTTCATTCTAGAATTGATGGAATTTTCCGATTTTCTCCCTACCTACCAGCTCCTTTGGAGGATCCTTAACTGTTCCAGCTGGCAGCTCCACCAATTAGCTAGAAAAAGTATATGTAAAAGAAATGATTAACTAATGAAGTTATTTCAAGAAAAATCCATCTGTTAGAATCAGTCTATGTACAAGATAGCACAGATTTCTCCATTTGACTCCAAAATGAGCTTTGTGTACTTCTAAAACAAAGCTTGTGTCTGGGAAAGGGATGTTGCTCTTCATAGCTTTCAGGAATCCTAGGGTTGAATTCCTTTCCAGGTATTATTAACCATGGACCCACTCTTCAGAGGAAGGCCCTGCTCTGAGTTATCTGAGCATCCATATTTTATTTTACATAAATGGAAAAGAAGAAAAGTGCAAAAATATAAGTAAATAATTCAATGAAATTTACTTTTAACTCTGAAAGAAAATAGAAAGACCCTATCGCCCTTCCGAGATAGAACTCATGGGCACTTGCTGATGCCATTGGGACACCCTAAGTGAGAGGCAGTAGTATGACTCTCGCAACTCCAAAGACTCAAGAGACTTGAGGAACAAAGGTTGATACCTCTATTCTCCACTCAACTCTGGCTTTACTGAAATTACCAATGTTGATAATTTTCAGATATTCAATTTATGGCAAATATAATCTTTGCATGTTAACTAAAATATCTGTGCCAAGTAAAACACATGACTTCAACTCTTACTTTTAACTATCTATAAAACATATCTAATTTTAATGCAATAATTTCATATTTTAACATTCATAATTATTGATGGAAATTGGGCCATATGTGATACAATAAGGCAATAGTGGTAGATTTTTAATAGATTTCACTTATGTGACAATATTTTAAAAGCAGCCCTTATATTAATTATTCAAGGAAGCAGTTTCTTTTCTCAGTTGATGGGAATTTGTGATGTCAATCAAATATATATGATTAAATGAGGGCACTTGGTAGTCTCTCTAATGCTAATAACATTTTATTTGATTTGGTTATTATTAATATTTTTTATATTTGTGCTTACAGATAAAGGATATGAGACATGTAAGATATGATTGACTTGAATTTTATTGTTTGAAATTTTTGCATCTACATAAGCCATAGATGTACAAATATGTTTTAGACTTTAGGGACTCAAATGCTAATTTTCCATCTGTTATTTTTATCTTCCTTTTTCATACTATTTTCTTATATATCCATTTATGCCTATGATTTGAATTTTTAGAACACCTAGGTTGTAAATGGGCCATTTTAGTTTTGTAAACTAAGAGTCACAAATCATAGAAATTTAATCACCAGAACCAAGTGAGAAAGAGGAGACTTCCTTTTCTCCCTCAAAATAGAAACACTTTTAAAAGAAAGGTTTAGCCTGCATTAAATATAAGGAGTTATTGTATGTTCCTATGGCAAAGTATAAACCATGGTGAAGAATATTTAAATTTTATATTTGTGAGGACAATGAGATACAAATGGTAAAGTACAGAAACATAAATAGAAACTTTCAAAAACAAATACAAACATGAAGTAGCAAAGCAAAGAGACTGATAAAGGAAGTAAGGCAGTGCAGGGTGCTCATGTGGGGTCAGGTGGATAGGTAAACAGGTGCAGACACAACACCTGAAGCACATGCATGGGGAGTGTCTTAGAAGGGGCACAGAGACACAGAAGACAATAAACAAGGAGCAAGGAAAAGCAAAGCAAAGACTAATTCACCCAGTAACTTTACTAAGAGATAAAAACGGGTTGGCATAGTCAACCCGTTGGCATAGTCATTCTATTAATGACATTAGATATTTCACATAAATGGAGATCTACATGTGCTATGTTAAGTCTCAATTTTTCAGCCTTTTAAAATTCTCCCATTGGTGTGATGCAATAATGTTGTGAATCAGATAAAACCTTTGCCTTTCCATTGACTTCCTTAAACAAGCACAGAAACAACTCAAAAACAAACTAACAAACATGCAAACAAAACCAATATCACCCCCACCCCCCAACAAAACTAGACCTTTCTCTTTTATAAGATAGTCCAGTGATGTCTCAAATATTAGGTATTGCTGGTAAAGCAACTATTCCACCATTTCTTACTATTTTATTTTTTTAAATAATTTTATATTAAAAGAATAGTTTTGGACGTTTTGAAAAATATATTTCTGCATGTATATATTATCCCCTTTTTTGAAAAAAGGTAAGGTCTATTAGTATAGTGTAGCCATCTTCATAATTCTGAGTGATTATTGTGATGACCATTTTTTGTGCCTACTATGCACTAATGCACATTAGGTGTCTACCAAATGACCTGAGAGTGGGAGAGGGATGTCCACAGAGTGGCAACTCTCACTGCCCCTATCATTTGTAATAGTGACACAGTATTGATAGCATCATTATTAAGACACGGGGATGTCCTTTACAACTCTTGGAGGTTGGAGAGACCATTAACTCTCATCTGTCATAACATTTAAAATCACTGAAATTCTTCTGTCTTTTCTTTGTAGATTTCCTGCCTCCTTTTTTCTGGGTAGTTTTGGAGGTAACCTCTCCCCCGTTCCCCTACCTCTCCAACTCCCCTTTCACTCCTTTGCTCATCATGTTTTCAAGACCATTCATAACGTGTGGACCAAGAAACCAGATACCAAATTTGTCTGAGAAGCCTCTCATCTAATTTTAGTGCATTAATTTCTAGGTAGGGTCTTTGCATCCTTTACTTTCAAGGTCATTTGAACCCATTTATTTAGTCTTGGATAAAGTTTCCATCATATCTGAGGTGGTCAGGAAAATCAGCTTCCCAAGAATTAAGATGTCCTGGGAAACATGGAATGGAGGTTAGTTTATTTTAGGAGAAACTATACATTTTACTTAGCCTATCTGAAATATAAAAATATTTCAGTAAAACTTAGCAAG